GGGGGGGGAAATCTACCTCTTCACTACAAGGGTTAAGTGCTGATTTGTGTCTAGGTAAAAAAAATCTTTAGAACTGGCTGGCTCTTAGAAGGGACTAGTCTATCTTGCTTCCTCTCCACTCCAGGAGTCTAAGGATCCTCATCACGTTATATACAGTGTATAGGATGGGAGACATACTGTATACCATCACTGCAGTGGAGGAGGAGACAGGATGGAGGGAGCGCTGTCACAGCTTGCTGGATCTAAGGTTCAGGTGCGTACAACTGTTTTTGTTTTTTACTTAGACACAAATGAGCAGTTAATCCTTGCAGTGTGGGGGCAACCCCACTGCAAGGGTTAATATTCCCCCCCCCCCAGAGTTCTTCTTTAAATATATGTATGTTGACCATCTGAGTCCTGCTTGAAGAAACCCACACGGTCAATTATCTGAATATTTTGCATGGCTGCATTGCTATCTGTAGAACAACCAATTTCAAATCCTCCAGGTGGAAGAAGTGTATGTTAAAAAATATTTACCGTTCTGTCAAAACATCTGCAATAGGCTCTGATGTAGGCAGTCAATCAGACCCCTGTCACGTACTTTGTATGTTGTATATGTTTGTAAATAACAGTTTCCATTGGAGCCTAGTACTACTGGAGCTTTTCTTGGTGAAAGTCCCTTTAAGACAAAAGGAAGCATAGGCATCGTATCAGCACTAACTGTAATGCTGTGACATCAATCTGTAAACACTGAATATAGGTCAGGAAAAAGGGACCGTTGTGAATCCAAACATTTCTATCAGTTACATGGAAGAAAAAGGATATCTTAAATTAGTTTCTTTTATTATATTTTCCAGGTGTGCAAACAAACATCAGAACAGTGATGTCCTTTAAAAAACAAAGAAAAAAATATTATATACACAAAATATGTACAAGTGAACAACGACATATTGGTCTTTTGCACAGCAAAGATAACATTTAGATTTCTGTGACAAGTATGTACAAGATCTATATATTTACACATCTGAAACACTGGCAGGGTACTTCACAACAGTGCAAGTATTACAAAAACCATCATGGAATGTAATGAAATTAAAACAGGAAGTATCCCAGTGGGCTAGAAAAACAAAAAGTGTAACGAAAAAAATAACATACGTACAACAACAACAAAAAAAAAAGTGTAAACATTTAAAATGTACCAATTCTCCAAGAATATTTATTGGTGGAGTTTTGGCAGGTGGTGGTAGGCTGCTGAGGCATGAAAACATTTACCAAGGTGGCAGGTAAAACCAAACCGTCAAAGTGCCAATGAGCTTTTTCTGCTAGACGCTATGCAATGTACTATGGGATATGCTAGAACCAGGGATGATTCAAGAAATATTTGTATTACAAATTAGACTCTAGGACAGGGGTAAGCAACCTCAACACTCCAGCTGTGATGAAGCTACAAATCCCATCATGCATCTGCCTCTGGGTCTCAGGCCTGTGGCTGTCAGAGGCTTGCAACGCCTAATGCTATTGCCATTTCCACTACACCTGGAGGGCAGAGGTTGCCTACCCCTGCTATAGGAAATAGAGTGAACTGGTGGCTGTGAACTATTGCACATTCATCTTCCTTACTAAACAGGCTCAATGGGGTAATTTAACATCCTTAAAAAAACACCTACACTTTGTGTCTGTGCAAGAGCTTCCTGTAATAAAGACCAGTCACTGCTCCTCTCTCTCCTAGAG